CAGTTTCATTCTCATGTGTCCCTTTGAAGAGTGAAGAAACCTTCTCCTAAAAGTTCTCCGAGGAGATTTTTTTTCTTCATATCATTGGCCAGAATTGTGTCACAGATCTGTGTAATCAAATCACCAGCAAGACAGCCAGGATCACAATGACTGGTTCAGATCAGCCAAGACCCACTCTCTGAGACTGGAGCTGGGGTCAGCTTCCTCTAAAGCGCATAGTTCTAGAAAGGAAGATGGAGGTTCCTAGACAAAACAGGAGTGGTAAGTGCTAAGGAGGAAAAAAAAAAAATCAAGATTGTGGGGGAAGGGCTATTGGGTGTCTTCAAGTGATGGTGCAGTTGAGTTGGAAAAGGATTCTTAAGTTGGCTGAGTGGCCCTCACTGGCTGGACGCCCCAGTGGATCTGAATAGGCTACCTCCTTGGCAAAGACCATGGGAGCACGTCTGTTGCTATAACAGGATACCACTGACCAGATCAGACATGGCGGCTCACGCCTGTAATCTCAGCACTTTGGGAGGCTGAGGCAGGCAGATCCCCTGAGGTCAGGAGTTCGAGACCAGCCTGGCCAACATGGTGAAACCCTGTCTCTATTAAAAATAAAAAAAAAAATTAGGTGGTGTGGGGGTGTATGCCTGTAATCCCGGCTACCTGGGAGGCTGAGTCAGGAGAATCATTTGAATCCAGGAGGCAGAGGTCGCGGTGAGCAAAGATTGCGCCACTGCACTCCAGCCTGGGTGACAGAGTGAGATAGGGAGGGGAAAAGCAAACCAAAAAAACCTCATAGGGTTCTCGTCAGGTTGGCCTGGGGAGGGTCAGCTCCAGTAACCCTATTGGCTGAGAGTAAGGGTGGGGTGATCCCAAAAGGACCATGGATGTGGTATTGCCAAAAGAAGCTCCGGAGAACAGATACTGAGCCCCCAAAACCTGCAGATGCCCACCATCATTGGGGTGACTGTATAGCTTATTATTATCAAAGCCCGGATCTTTTAAGAGTGAAAGAGGGCACGTTTAACAATTCTGCCGGGACAACAGGCTTAGACTGTCCTTGGAAAGTACTGTCACCCTAACTATAGCAGCCAAGAGCCAGGGAGCCAAGAGCTGCCCCACCTGAGCCCTGCATCTCACAAACTCGATCTCTCTGGCTCTCTGGGCACAGGGAGGAGAGGAGGGGAAGGTGCTCAGGCTCAGATCTCAGGAGGAGAAGAGGGTGGCTGGGTGGGAAGAGGACACATTGGAAAACAATTTCCAGTTCTCCACATCCACCCAAACTGCCCCACCCTGACCTCTCACTACCATCTGTTGGTCACGTTGAGCCTCTTCCCTGTGCTAGGAATGCCCTTCCTGTGCTCCTCAGACTCCAGGAGCCTTCTCTAGCTCGCCACTCTCTGGAGCATCCCTTTAACACCCCTCCTACCGCAGCCTCCTCACAGCTCCTGCAGCACCTCTAAAGCACCTCCAGACTCATCACAGGGCCTGTCTGGGGTATGGCTCCCATCTCTACCATGGGGCAGGAGTTTGCTGTGGGTCTTGCTTGTCTCCTGGTCCTCCTTTCCCACAGCCCTCAGCAGGGCTCACTGAAAGCCCTAGGCTGATGATTCTGCTGGGCTAAGCCCTCTCAGCTGTCTCCATCTCTCCAGCCCAGAGCCCTCTCCCCTTCCCAGCCCTTCTGCCCCTGCTCCTGGTATCGACTGCTAGGGAATCCTAGCCAAAGAGCTTCTCACGCAAAGGCATGCAAACTTTGACCCAGGATGATTGGGTGTTTAGCTCCAGGCCAAGGTCCTCTAACCTCCTGCCTGACTCCCTCCTCTCTGCCCAGTGCTCAGTGAGGGCCCCCTTCCTGTTACTGTGAGCTATTAGTCACGACAGGGCTTGGCGATGAGACGTGCAACACCTGTTGTAACCCCAGTGCACCAGCCCATGGCTATGGAGAGGAGGGGAGCCCTGGCCCAGGGGCTGAGTCTGGCCCCCCCCCCCCCGCCCAGGCTTCACTCTTAGTCTGGGATGATAACTTATGGTGAGAAGAGCCCTGGCCTGGAAGCAAGAGGCTGGAGTTCCAGGCTCTGCTTTGATTTGCCATGTGTACCTTGGCCTTTTCTTTTCTGGCACCCATCTCTCCACCTAAGAAGTGAGAGAGGAATTGACTTTATTAGCTAATGAATTTTTGAGGAGTCAAGAGCCTCTTAGAGAATACAAACAAAGCAACAGACTTTCTTTTTTTTTGAGACAGAGTCTTGTACCTGGGCTGGAGTGCAGTGGTGCAATCTCTGCTCACTGCAACCTCCGCCTCCGGGGTGCAAGCAATTCTCCTGCCTCAGCATCCCGAGTAGCTGGGATGACAGGTGCCCGCCACCATGCCCAGATAATTTTTTGTATTCAGTAGATATGGGGTTTCACCAGGTTGGCCAGGCTGGTCTTGAACTCCTGACCTTATGATTCGCCCACCTCAGCCTTCCAAAGTGCTGGGATTACAGGGGTAAGCCACTGAGCCCGGCCTAAAGCAATGGACTTTCTATTGGGAGAAAGGTCGCTTGTTGGGAGCCCTAGCACTGAATGGTCTTCCAGTCCTGATGACCAGGCTGCCATGATTCTCCAGAGCTGGGGGGTTGGTGGGAACCCTGGGAAGCTGAAGAAGAGGTTGTGCTGCAGAGCAGGTTGGAGGATGGAAGAGTGCCTTGCTCTCTACTTCCCTGCCGTGGCTTTCACACAGGGTCGTTCTCTCTGTGGCTCTAGCTCCAAATAGGATTGAAAGACACAATTCTCCTGGGTACCATGAAGCTTCTGAGGCTGAAATCAAAGACGCAGAGGGTAGAACGATTGGAAAGATGCTGAGAAAGCCCAGTAATACCTCCTTTGTCTCCTGCCTGTTCTGCTGCCTAAATTCCACCTTTACAGCATCAGCACTTTGGATTCAACATCTCTCTTGCCATTTGGCCTATGAATAGTGTAGCTATGTCTAACTCCTTTACCAGTTATTAATATCTTGCCCGGACTTGGTTTATCAGGTTAATTTCCTGCAGGTTGGTTTTCCTTGTTAGAGCATGCGGAGAGGAGTAGCAGGTTGCGTTGAGTTCGTAGCAAATGTCCAATGTCCTAAGAATTACCATGGAGAAGTGCTGGATACAATGATCAGGAGAAACCTAATTTTCTGCAGGGAGAATCCAGAAAGACATCTGAGGAAGTAATGTTTAGCTGAGACTCAAGGTAGGAGGCACTAGAACTAGAAGCAGGTAGACCTGGCAGGTTCTGCTAAAGATTCTCCTTCGTACCGTCAGAGTGGTGGGAGCTACCAAAGGGGTTTAAGCAAGGCAGTGATAGAATGAGATTTTGCATTTTTGACAGGACCACTCATTTTTGACAGAGTGCCACCAGGTGGAGAAGGAACTGGAAGGAGCAAAAGGCAAACGGGAACCTTGGCGGAGACTAAGTGCTCCAGGGAGCAATGATGGGCCCTGGATGAGTTGTGGCAGTGGAGCTGGCCAGATGCCGAAGTGGAGAAATGTGCCTCCTATCCTCAGCACAGTAGCCCGGGTGATCTTGCTTCTCTCACACCCTAGCCATGTCTCTATCCTGCACAGAGGAAGGCTCATGTTTCTCATTGGAGTGCTTCCTGCGCATGGGGCAGGGCACTGTCCCTCAAGGGCATCCAATCCCCCTGGACTACATGCCAGGAGAACTCCCAAGTCACATGACCTCTGCACATCCCTGGTACTGCTCTCTCCTTCAAGAACCATTATGGGGGACAGAGGGCTTTGATTCTGCTTGGTCCCTCTGCCAGTTGCACTCTTTCTTTCTTTCTTTCTTTCTTTCTTTCTTTCTTTCTTTCTTTCTTTCTTTCTTTCTTCTCTCTCTCTCTCTCTCTCTCTCTCTCTCTCTCTCTCTCTCTCCTCTCTCTCTCTCCCTCTTTCTTTTTCAGACAAGTCTCACTCTCTCACCCAGGGCAGAGTGCAGTGGCGGGATCTCAGCACACCAGTTCACTGCAACCTCCACCTCTCAGGTTCAAGCAATTCTCCTGCCTCAGCCGCCCTGGCCCAGTATCTGGGATTACAGGCAAGCACCACTACGCCTGACTAATTTTTGTACTTTTAGTAGAGATGGGGTTTTGTCATGTTGGCTAGGCTGGTCTCGAATTCTTGACCTCAGGTGATCCTCCTGCCCCAGCCTCCTAAAGTCCTGGGATTACATGGGTGAGCCACTGCACCTGCCCAGGTACACTCTTTATCCGGGTTTGTGCCATTGATTCTTGACTCCACACTCCCACCGCTCTCTGCAAGGCCTTCCCTGACCATCTTGTTTTGAATTGCAATCTTCCCTCACATAATCCTCACCCCTTCTCTGTTTAATTTTTTCAAAAGCACTCTTTACCCTCTGACATTCTCTAGATTTGGGAGCATATTACCTGTCTCCCTCCATGAGAATATAAACTCCACGAGATCAGGAGTGCTATTATTAGCTCTATTTCCTTGTCTGTCAGCCACCAGCGCCTCCGAACAGCTCCTGGCACATAGTAGTTGCTCAGTAAATATTTGTGCAATGCAAGAGGCAGCATATGACTGGAATGAGAGGTGAGGGGGTTGTTTTCTGGCCTGGACCAGAGACAGATGGTGATGCCATCAGGTTGGGGAGCAGTCGGGAATGGAGGGTGATGATGTTGGTTGGGGCCAGGTTGAGCTAGACCCGCATATATAACAACTTTTTTTCCTGGAAACTCTGTAACAGGAAGGTTCGGGAGGGCGGGAAGCTTCGGAGGCAGGCAGCCAGGCTGTGCCAAGAGGCGCTGGGGTTTCGTGACCTTCCACGGACGTGGATTAAAAAATGCGGACACTCGCAGGCTGCCTCTCCTCGCAGGCAGAAGCCGCACGCAAACCTGGACCCTTTGCACCGCACCCCTCTATCCAATCGCGCACTCGCCACCCTTCGATGGTTCCTCTCCCTCCATCCCAACCCCACGCCGAGAGCGAGACTGGCCCTTTAAGAGCCCCGCCCCGACTTCCCTACCCCCTCGCGTGACTGTGGGACCAGCGCCTGGCAGGGGAATGGGGCGGCCGGGTGGCTGCGCGGGCCTCCGGCCCTTCTCACGCAACGCCTGGCACCGCGCCCCCGGGCCAGGTGTGGCGGGGACGAGCAGCCTGACCTCTGCCCCTAGAGAGATGTCGCTGGTGCCCGCGAGCTACCCGGGGTGGGGTAGGGGCTTCGCGTCAGGAGACCCTCGGTGGTCCTTGGGCCCCAGAGTTTTTCCTCGGCCGCCGGTCCCCGGATTTCTGTGCTCCGCCAACTAAAGCACTAGCAACCCCGGGAGCCAGGATAGACCCTCAAGGCCGGTGGGTACCGGCTGGACGGACCCCGGGTTGCATCGGACTAAGGTGATCCCAGAGGCGGCGCGGAGCAGCTGGTGAGCGCTCACCGAGGCTGCGCCTTCGCCATCCATTCCGGTCCTTCATTCAAGAGGCGCGAAACTCTGCTAGTCCCGGGCTCTGGGGAACACCGCCAGCCCCGCGGCGCCTCTGGCCTTCCGGCCCCCGTGACCTCAGGGCCGGGGTCGCAGCGCTTCTCACGCGAGCCGGGACTCGGTAACCCCCGGGAGGAGGTCACCACGCGCAGCCCCGCCCCCGCCTGCCGAGTCCGGTTAGGCTGTAGCGCCGGGCAGGCATCTGCTCGCCCAGTGTTCCGGTGTGTGCAGACATGGCCAAGAGGAGTCCCAGCGCCCCAGGATGGGGCTTCTTGTACCCTCTCTTCTGGCTGTCCTGGGACTTCGCTCCTCGGCTGGGTCCTGCACTGCCCTTGGGGCGCCTTGGAACTGGGGCTTCCAGGGGTCCCCGGCCCCCATCCCTGTACGTCCAGGCACCGAGATGAGGTGTCCAAGCATAGGTTCTTGTCCACCCACCTGCCCTCCCCCACCTTTTCCTCCAATTCCAGAGACACCAGCCGGTTTCAGGCTGCTCCTCCCTCCATCCATCTCTGCGCGCTCTGGGGGAAGGGGGCGTGGCCACACCCGGGAGCCAGCCTATAAAGGTGGCAGTGCCTTCACCCTCATCCTGAAGGTGACAGTTCCTTGGAACCTTCCCTGATCTTTGTGGTCCCAGGTTCCAAGAGTCCACTCTTCCCAGCTCAGCTCAGTACCTCCTTACAGCCACAGGTGAGTGCTGGGGGGTTTCTGGCTTGCCAATAAAAGGAACATTTGGTGCCTCCAGGACTTCCTAGGTAGCTACCTGTCTAGAACCTTCAAAAGAGAGGAAAGTGTTTTTAGTGACCAGGTAGTGTCAGAGTGTTTTTAGTGACCAGGTAGTCTAGCCCACTAGACTAACTGAGGTGAGGGAAAGTGGAAGACTTGCACATGATCCCACAGCTGGTACCAGACCTCTAGATCCAGATGACATCTCATTCAGGACTTCAGCTCCATCCCCTAGTGACTCCCTGCTCACCTTGAGGCTTCCCCATCAAGGCCACCTGGCAGGCTGGAATCTGTGCAACCCCTCCCTCAGGCTTTCTGATGACATGGGCTTCTCTTTGGGTGGAGAAGAGGGGGGATGGAGGGGAGTGGGCTGGGTTCTTACCAGCTGTACCCTGCCTTAGCCAAGAAACTACCCCTGGCAGATTTTACTCTCCCAAGGGGTGGCTTGTCAGAGCTGAGATGTCCTAGACAGCCAGACAAGAGAGACCGATCTGTGCAAGAGTCCCAGGCCTTTCCTATCTTATTGACTATCTTCTTTGTCCTTTGGTGGGAGACAATCAGGGTGACAGATTGCCAACTGCAGGGAGCTGGAAATACCAGCCCCTAAAAACTCACAAGTCACATCTCCCTTGGCTCCTACCATCTTACAAAGGCTGCAGGTCCTTGGACACCCGTTGTGCAGAAGGGGATGCCATGGCACACCAAAGCCTGGTGCTGTCCCCCATTTACTCAGGGATCTAGTGTGGTTTGAGATTCAGCCCCTCCAGGAAGCCTCCCTCCCTCTATAAGACTTGTGATAGGAGCCATCCGTCTCCCTGTCTAGTGTGGTTCTCCTGTGGAAGCCTCACTGGTAAGACTTTAAGATTCCCCACAGCAAATCTGGGTCTTCTCTTCCCTCCGATCCTGCTGGGCACTATGAACTGAGAGATCTCTTCTCACCCTCTCTCAGGTATTGAAATTGGACCCCAGAAAAGTAAAATGTTCAGTCCAAGATCACTTTGACTAGAATGTTGGGTTTACTGATCTCCAGTCCAGGGTAGCAGACAGATGCCTGATGTGTTGGAGAGAGTGGTTTATGAATGTACACGCCTTTTCTGGGTCACGCTTACAGAGAAAGTATTGCCCCAGTTTCCTTTAAGTTCAGATCCACTCCTGATTTCCCTGATTCCAGTCTGGGGTTTTCTTACAGCCTAGTGGGAACCTTCCATTTATTCTCTGCTTTCAGGTAACTTGTAAAAGGGGGAGGTCCAAACTGTTCATTCTTTGAGAATTGAGCCCAACAAAAACCCTGGCCTGGATTTTTCTGACTAAAACGCTCCATCTAGCTGGTCTCCAGGTCACACTTTTAAAGTGTGAGTCAGTTGAACTCAGAGAGCTGGGGCTGAGAGCAATGTGGTTTGGGAAGCGGCCATCCTGTCTGCTATTTCTTCCTCACTCTGTCCTGGGATCTGGTGGGATTTCCTGCATCCTGAGATTGAGCGTCAGAAAACTGAGGGTTCTGGGAAAATTCCTTCATTCATCTGACCGGTCTTCAAAGGGAGGTACATGTGAGAGCAGCTGGACATTTCCAGGAAAGTGTCCCTAAGGAGTCTGAGTACTGGCTCTGTCACTGATTGCTGGGGGACTTTGGGCAAGTCAGTGCTGCTTCCAGGGGTCACTTCCTCCAAACATTAAATGAGGCTAAAGGAGCAGATGATCCTTAATTCCCCCGAGAACATGGTTTTCTTAAGTGTGATGGGTAAGACTTGGGGTGATACACATTGAATATGTGTTTATTTTAATGTATTAGGGGAAAAATCAAAGTTGTACTTTCACACAGATATTGTTTATGCTGATATGTGGATAGATTTAAAGTTGATTTTAGGAAAATGTGAAGTGAATAGAAGTACTGGTACCATATGGAAATCACAGATTGACGTTGGAAGATGTCATTTTAGAATGGCACAGTAGTTAAGAGAAGGCATTCTGGAATTAGGCAACTTGACTTGGGAGTCTGCATCCAACACTTTCTGGCTGTGTGACCTTGGGCAAGTTACTTACCTTCTCTGAGCCTCACTGCAGCTTACCTCATAGATTTGTGGCCGGGGTGAATGAAGAAGGACTGTGAAATTCTTAGCCCACAGTGGTAGCTCAACAAACAACTTCTCCCCACCTCATCCTCTTCTTCATGCCCAGTGAGCAGTTCTAGGTGGAAAGGTTTCCCGTTTCTCTGACCAGCAGGCTGCAGGTTGACATTCTAGGATATTGGCTCCTCTCATCCCCCAATCTGATGGCTTGTTTTTTTTCTTCCTGCCCCATTTCTTAGCAGCCACCTCCAAGATCCCTACACTGATCATGCTTTTTCCAATCTCCGTCTCGGTCACGGAGCTTCTCCTGGCCTCTGTCATCTTCTGTCTGGTATTCTGGGTAATCAAGGCCTCAAGACCTCGGGTCCCCAAAGGCCTGAAAAGCCCACCAGAGCCATGGCGCTGGCCCCTGCTCGGGCACATGCTGACCCTGGGGAAGAACCCGCACCTGGCACTGACGAAGATGAGTCAGCGGTACGGGGACGTGCTGCAGATCCACATTGGCTCCACGCCCGTGGTGGTGCTGAGCGGCCTGGACACCATCCGGCAGGCCCTGGTGCGGCAGGGCGACGATTTCAAGGGCCGGCCCGACCTCTACAGCTTCACCCTCATCACTGGTGGCCAGAGCATGTCCTTCAGCCCAGACTCTGGACCCGTGTGGGCTGCCCGCCGGCGCCTGGCCCAGAATAGCCTCAAGAGTTTCTCCATTGCCTCTGACCCAGCCTCCTCATCCTCCTGCTACCTGGAGAAGCATGTGAGCAAGGAGGCTGAGGCCCTGATCAGCAAGTTGCAGGAGCTGATGGCAGGGCCTGGGCGCTTTAACCCCTACAGGTATGTGATGGTATCAGTGGCCAACGTCATCTGTGCCATTTGCTTTGGCCAGCTCTATGACCACAACCACCAAGAACTGCTTAGCATAGTCAACCTGAGTGATAATTTCGCGGAGGTGGTTGGCTCTGGAAACCCAGCTGACTTCATCCCTATTCTTCGCTACCTGCCCAATTCTTCCTTGAACACCTTCAAGGACCTGAATGAGAAGTTCTACAACTTCCTGCAGAAGACGGTCAAGGAGCACTACAAAACCTTTGAGAAGGTACAGGCTGGAGAGAGGCAGGTGGGTGGTGGGAAGCAGATGGGGTCAGAGCCTGGGAGGTCAGAGGTAAGAGGAACTGTGTGGGGGGTTGAGGGAAGCAGATGGGGTCAGAGCCTGGGAGGTCACAGGTAAGAGGAACTGCATGGGGCTTGGCAAGTTCTCAGGGAGGTTTCAACCTGGGATCTTGAAGTCATTTGTGGAGTGCTCTCCTTCCTCGGCAGGGAAATAGAACTTGATCTTGACTAACACTTCAGTGCTTTCATCAGACAGCGATAGCCACTGAATAGCCATCACATGCAGGACCCTGGGGCAGTTGCTGAGGGAGCCGGGAAGAGTTAAAGAGTTGGCCTCCTGGCCTCATCAAAGAAAAGAGCACATCCAGATGATAACAGTACAAGACTCTGTGTGTCAAATGTCCCTTGAGTTGGGGCTAGCAGCATTCTAAGGTAGTAAGCAGAGAGAAGCTGGGACAACAGCCTCCGGGAGCATCACCTCCTGAACAGACGTGCTACAGATAGTGAAGAACCAGACCTGGATGGAGAGGTAGCTCTGGGTGTGAGATCTTTGCTCACCTGTGGACTTTCCCTACCTAAGGGGCACATCCGGGACATCACGGACAGCCTGATTGAGCACTGTCAGGAGAAGCAGCTGGATGAGAACGCCAATATCCAGCTGTCAGATGAGAAGATCATTAATGTCGTCCTGGACCTCTTTGGAGCTGGTATGAGTCACCCCACTGTTTCCTTCCTGTGCCCAAGTGCCCTGACCTGCCGCCTGCCTAACTTCGTCTATTCTACCCTGTCCAGGGTTTGACACAGTCACAACAGCTATCTCCTGGAGCCTCATGTATTTGGTGACAAACCCCAGGGTACAGAGAAAGATCCAGGAGGAGCTAGGTAAGTAGTGGCTCCCTTTAAAGGGGTGAGTGCCAGGATCCTGGCCAGGTCTAGGCAGCCCTGAATTCACCTTGTTCCCTTTGTTCTGCAGACACAGTGATTGGCAGGGAGCGGCAGCCCCGGCTCTCTGACAGACCCCACCTGCCCTATATGGAGGCCTTCATCCTGGAGACCTTCCGACACTCCTCCTTCGTCCCCTTCACCATCCCCCACAGGTGAGGCCCCATGGTGCCACTGCTGTCTGACACTGGCCTTACTTCAGCCCACACACCTGATTAGGGTTAATGGGAGGGGCATGGCATGGGAGACAGGGAGATTTGCCTGTTGCCGCTGAGCCTGACCGAGCTTTGTTTCTCCCCAGCACTACAAGAGACACAAGTCTGAAAGGGTTTTACATCCCCAAGGGGCGTTGTGTCTTTGTAAACCAGTGGCAGATCAACCATGACCAGTAAGTTCCGAGGTGCAGAGGAAAGGCTGGGTCCACCCTCTTAAGCTCTTATATATGTTTGGTTTTTTTTTTTCAACTTTTTTTTTTTTTGAGACGGAGTTTCGCTCCTGTTACCCAGGCTGGAGTGCAATGGCGCAATCTCGGCTCACCGCAACCTCCGCCTCCTGGGTTCAGGCAATTCTCCTGCCTCAGCCTCCTGAGTAGCTGGGATTACAGGCACGCGTCACCATGCCCAGCTAATTTTTTGTATTTTTAGTAGAGACGGGGTTTCACCATGTTGACCAGGATGGTCTCAATCTCTTGACCTCGTGATCCACCCACCTTGGCCTCCCAAGGTGCTGGGATTACAGGCTTGAGCCACCAAGCTCTTATATATGGTAATACAATCACTGCATTGATCCTCCTGTCCGCGGGCCGCTTGCCTATCCTCTATCCTTTGGGACTGGGGTTCCACCCACTTGACGCTTCTGAGCCCCAACCTGCCACTTCAGCTGCCTCCCTCTGCTTACAGGAAGCTATGGGTCAACCCATCTGAGTTCCTGCCTGAACGGTTTCTTACCCGCGATGGTGGTATTAACAAGGTGCTGAGCGAGAAGGTGATTCTCTTTGGCATGGGCAAGCGGAAGTGCATCGGGGAGACCATTGCCCGCTGGGAGGTCTTTCTCTTCCTGGCCATCCTGCTGCATCAGGTTGAGTTCAGCGTGCCACCGGGCGTGAAGGTGGACATGACCCCCATCTATGGGCTGACCATGAAGCACACCTGCTGTGAGCACTTCCAAATGCAGCTGCGCTCTTAGGTGCTTGAGAGCCCTCAGGCCTAGACTCTGTCTACCTGGTCTGGTTGGGCAGCCAGACCAGCGGGCTGGCCCAGGGAGTCTAAGGTTCAGCCTGAAACTCAGACACTGATCTGACCGCAGTTTTGCTGTCTGGGCTATGGGCAAGCCTGAGGGATCCTGCCTGCCCCTGCCCTGGACTTGCCTCTGCATACCGACCACAGACAACAGGTACAGCAGGGACACACAGGAGCTGATGGAGCCTTCCCAAGTTGTTTCTGAGCCAGGAGGCCTGCTAGGGTTAGGAGGTCCTTAGGCCCCTGAGGAGATCTGAAGAGCTCTCTGGAAGCTCCTGGGCCCAGCAGCTAGCTGGCTCTGTGGGGGTGCTGACTGGCTTGAGCAACGGTTAGAGCTGGCCACATCAGGACCCTGTCCAACCTTTGACAATTGGGAGCTGCCAAGAGTGAAGGGAAGAGACAGCCTAGGATACTGGCACAGATGTAGTCTCACTGCCTGCACTAAGCTGAGCAATCTAGCCCTATCGGTCTAGGACAGAGTTCTTGGGAACATCACATTCCTCTGCCCTTTCTGCAGGCAGGTACAAGCAGGGCTGCCTTCTGGCCTTGTAAGACCCATGCTGCTGTCCAGGAGCAGCTAGGGACTCGTGTCTAAGGGGAGCAGAGCACAGAGGGAGTGCACATATCCAGGCACCAAGACTAGGGCTGGAGGGAGGGGGTGGTATTTCAATTGCCTTCTATTGGTCTCCCTTCTCTACACCCTTGTAATAAAGTGTCTATTTTTAATGTTTGTACACAACATCCTTTCTATTCTAGCCTGCATTTTGCTTGTATGTTTGCATAAGAGCTTAAGAACCATCAATTTAATGTAATAGGGAAAATTCTAAGCCAAGTATCCAGAATTGTGTAAAAACAACTGTCTGAGCTAAATAAAGATATTGTTCAGAAGTCCTATAGGTGGAGATTTTTGAATCTTAAATGATTCATCACTCATCTAAATACTCACCCTGAACCCATTCTGTGTTCGTTTGACTGTGGGGAGGAAGAAGAGGAGGTAGCAGTGAAGAGGTGAAGCCACTGGACTTGGGCAGTATGTTTGAGGGACAAGACTCTTTTTTTTTTAAACAGGGTCCCCCCCGGTTGTCCAGGCTGGAGTGCAGTGGCACCATTTTGACCACTGTAACCTCTGCCTCCTGGGCTCACATGATCCTCTCACTTCAGCCTCTGAGTAGTTGGGGCCACAGGCACACACCACCATGGCTAATTTTTTTGTATTTCTTGTAGAGCTAGGGTTTCACCATGTTGCCCAGGCTGGTCTCAAACTCCTGCGCTCAAGTGATCCACCTGCCTTAGCCTCCCAAAGTGCTGGGATTATAGGCATGAGCCACCTCGTCTGGCCAGGACATGACTCTTCATCACTGTGCTGACTTACTCCCTCTCCAACTTATCACAAATTGATGAAGAGTATTCTCTGAACCAGGCAATAAGGGTATCAAGTGAATATAATGTAGTCCCTGCTTTCAAGAACCTCCCAAAATGGCTGATGAAACTGACATGTAAACACATCATTCAATTCACTGTGATCAGGGCTCTAACAGACAGATGCATATAGGAGGTGGGGTCCAGAGCTGGGGCTGGGACTGGGTGGGGGAGTGGGCACTGGGGGAGATTTCCAGGTCTTGAGGCTATCTGAGCCAAGCCTTCCTTGAAGGATGAGAGGCAGTCTCACTTGGGACCGACAGCATTAGATGCTGAGTCCAAGCGGATAGGCTGTAGAGAGTTTTGTGGGGAGAGGGGTTCTTAGCTCAGCAGTTGTGATCTGCTCCTCACTCTTCATGCCCTGCTTTAGGTTCTAGAACCACATTAGAACCCACATCTCAATGCTGAAAGCCCCTGTCCATCTGGGATGGCAGAGTATGGATGACACGAAGTATGGCAGAGGCTGGACCCACATAGCCAGGAGCTGTTCTGACTAAGGGGATGAAGGGAGATGCACTTTGGGATGTGACCTCTCTACCCCACCCCAGACCAGCTTTCTTCCTAAAGCATTGCATGGTGGCCAGGAGTTGCTGTTCATGCACCGTGCTTTCTGATAGGGGTAAATGGCTCCTGCTCACCAGGAGCTTCAGGCTACTGCAAGGAGCAAGCAAGCCGAAGTCAGTTGTAGCAACCTGCTTTGCGGGGTTGCGGGGTGGGAATAAGAAATTTGGTGCTCATTTTCCTATTGATTTATATTTTCTACTTAAACAATTACTTGGCTGGGCATGGTGGCTCACTCCTGTCATCCCAGCACTTTGGGAAGCCGAGGCAGGCAGATCACAAGGTCAAGAGATTGAGACCAGCCTGGCTGACATGATGAAACCCCATCTCTACTAAAAAGTACAAAAATTAGCTGGATATGGTGGTGTGCATCTGTAGTCCCAGTTACTCGGGAGGCTGAGGCAGGAGAATAGCTTGAATCCGGGAAGCGGAGGTTGCAGTCAGTTGAGATTGTGCCGCTGCACTCCAGCCTGGTGACAGAGCAAGATTCTGTTTCAAAATAAATTAATTAATTAAATAACTTGCATTTATGCTATATATATATGAACAAGCCTTGAATACATACTATGTGAAAGAAGCCAGACACAAAAGGCCATGTAGCATATGACTCCATGTGCATGAAAAGTCCAGAATAGGTAAATTTATAGAGACAGAAAGTAGATGAGTGGTAATACAGGGCAGGGGAAATTGAGAGATGTAGAGTTTACTTAGGGGTGATGGAAATATTCTAGAATTAGATAGTGGTGATGGTCATATGACTTTGAGAATATACTAAAAACCAATGAATTATGCAGTTCAAAATGGTTAAAATGGTAGAAAAAAGGCCAGGTGCGGTGGCTCACACCTGTAATCCCAGCACTTTAGGAGGCCAAGGTGGGTAGATCACTTGAGGTCAGGAGTTTGAGACCAGCCTAGCCAACATGGTGAAACCTGTCTCCACTAAAAATACAAAAATCAGCTGGGTGTGGTGGCAGGCACCTGTAATCCTAGCTCCTCGGGAGGCTGAGGTAGGAGAATTGCTTGAACCCAGGAGGCAGAGGTTGCAGTGAGCCAAGATTGCACCATTGCACTCCAGTCTCTTGAGTAGCTGGCATTACAGGAGAGCATCCACTGAATATAGGCTGTAATTGAACCAGAATTAATCTTTTCTTCTGTTGTAAGATGAGTTGTTGGACCATCTGATATGACAATGGCTGTGCAATAGCACTTAAAACTCTGGACAGGCTACATTAGCCAATTGTAACACAGGCAATTATCAGAATCTATTTTAATTTTAAGAGTTATTTACTGTCAGTCTTTGTAACAGGTCTGGAAGCCAAGGGCCTGGATTTCATAATCCAGGCCATGAAAACGTGTCCCAGAATCCAGGCCGATGTGTTTTAGACTGAGAGTCAGGTGGCTTCTTCTATTTGCCCTGTAGTATTTATATATAGGTGCAGCAGGAAGCATTTGCGACAGCACAGACTCTCCTTTGGTTGGCTAAACATTATGGGGAAAGCCTGTATTTCCAAACTAACACAGGTATCTGCCGCTCAGCAAATTTAATACACTCAGCATTGTCTTTATCTTTCAGTTGGGCTCCTTATCTTGTTAACAGTTTGGAAGTTTCACCAAAATGAAGGCCCCACATAGTGGCAACCTCGAGGGACCCTCAGTTCTTGAGTCCTCAGCTCTGTCCTGTTGTGTGCATTGATAGTCGTCTAGTTCTGCCGCTGGGATAGTATGTGTAGTGACATTATCAAGCTTTGAGTATTTCCATTGAGTTCTCATTGCTATGTTTTGTGATTTTTGTTTTGTTTTGTTTTGTTTTTGTTCTTGGAGGCAGAGTCATTATAAATCTCACAATACAATGTTATAATTTCTGCTTCCCCCCTCTTTCTTTTTGGTAGACGGAATCTCGGTCTCCCAAGTATTTTTTGTTTACAGACTGCTGAGCCTGTAAATAGCATAAGCCATTATGCCTGGCTTGATTTTAGCTCTCATATGTAGGTCTGTGATTAAGTTTTAGTTAACTTTTGTATAGGCTGTGAAGTAAAGGTCCAGACTCATTCTTTTACATTTTACCAAGCACCATCTATTGAACAGATCATTCTCTCCCCATTGAATAGTTTTGGCGCCCTTGTCAAAAATCAACTGGCTCTGGATGTATGGGTTTATTTCTGGACTCTCAATTGTCCTTATGCCAAGGCCACACTATTTTGATTACTGTAACTTGGTAGTAAGTGTTGAAATTGGGAAGTGCGATTCCCCCAACTTGATTCCTCTTTTTCCCTGGTATGATTTTTAAATAGCAGTTTTTTAGGGTCTTGTAATAAAAGAGTAATATTTCTCAGCATTGTCCTTCATGTTAGTATAATTTCAATAAACACGATTCCTAATATTAGGAATGTCCTTCACACTCATTATCAGAAGCAATGTCCTGCTTGTCCTTTTTACAATTTTCCTTTTTTACCTAAGATGAGACCTCAAAATTCTGATTCATGTGCCTAGATTTTCACAGTTGTGTTTAGGCCTGTACTGTATTTAGTTGATCACCTGTTATTTAATTTTTTTTTCTTTTTTTTGAAAAGGAGTCTTGATCTGTTGCCCAGGTTGGAGCTCAGTGGCATGCTCTCAGCTCACTGGAAACTCCTCCTCCTGGTTCAAGAGATTCTCCTGCCTCAACCTCCTGAGTAGCTGGGATTACAGATACCCGGCTAATTTTTTTGTATTTTTAGTTTCGCCATTTTGGCCAGGCTGGTCTCGAACTCCTGAGCTCAAGTGATCCACCTGCCTTGGCCTCACAAACTGCTAGGATTACAGGCATGAGCCACCAAGCCTGGCCTTTGTTTTTCTCTTTTAATATGTTTTCACATAGTTAAGAACCATTTATAGTTTTTTTTTTCATGAAGTCTGTTCATATCCTTTATCCATTTTCTTCTTATTTTACTTTTTTTTTTTTTTAGAGAGACAGGGTTTTTACCATGTTGGCCAGGCTGGTCTTGAACTCCTGACCTCAAGCAATCCACCTGCCTCAGTCTCCCTAAGTGCTGGGATTACAGGCATGAGCCACCACGCCTGGCCTTCTTATTTATTTATTTATTTATTTATTTATTTATTTATTTATTTATTTATTTTAAGGCAGAGTCAGGCTCTGCCTCCCAGGCTAGAGTACAGTGGCACAATCTCAGCTCACTTCAACCTCTGTCTCCGGGGTTCAAGCAATTCTCCTGCCTCAGCCTCCTGAGTAGCTGGGACTACAGGCATGCACCAGCACACCTGGCTAATTTTTGTATTTTTAGTAGCTATGGTGTTTCGCCATTTTGGCCAGGCTGGTCTCGAACCCCTAACCTCAGGTGACCTGCCTGCCTCGGCCTCCCAAAGTGCTGAGATTACAGGCATGAGCCACTGTGCCAGTACTCTTTGTCCATTTTTTTTCTTTTCGGTCATTGGTCTTTTTCTTATTTATTACTTGAAACTCTATATATTCAGATTAGGTACTTGTCTGTGATATGAAAATATTTTCCCTGTTTGTATTTTGACTTTTTAAATATGGTGGCTTTTAATATGGATAGGTTTTTTTTGTTTTTGGTTTTTTTTTTGAAACAGAGTCTCTGTTGCCAGGCTGGAGTACAGTGGCGCCATCTCAGCTCACTGCAACCTCTGCCTCCTGGGTTCAAGCAATTCTCCTGCCTCAGCCTCCCGAGTAGTTGGGACTACAGGTGCATGTGTGCCCCCACACCCTGCTAAATTGTTGTATTTTCAGTAGAGACAGGGTTTCACCATGTTGACCAGGATGGTCTCGATTTCTTGATCTCATGATCTATCCACCTTTGCCTCCCAAAGTGCTGGGATTACAGGCATGAGCCACCATGCCCAGCTAGGTTTTTTTTATGTCGTAGAATTTGTTAATCTTTTTTGTTATGGTTTTTGGA